GCAGGGCAGGGGTCATGATGACAACAGACACAGAGAAGGCAGAGGTACTGAACGCCTTCTTTGTCTCACTCTTTACTGGTAGGACTGGCCCTCAGGAATCTCAGGCCCTGGAGACCAGGGAGAAAGTCTGGAGAAAGGAAGACTTTCCCTATATGGAGATACATTGGGTTAAGGAATTTTTAAACAAGACCATGGGCTCTTATGAGGTTCCCCCACTAGTGCAGAGGGAGCTGACCAATGTCCTTGCAAGGCCATTCTCAATCATCTTTGAAAGGACGTGCAGAACAGGAGAGGTGCCAGAGGATTGGAAGAAAGCTGACGTCCTGGGGGGCAACAAGTTGACCATAAGCCAGCACCATGCCCTTGTGACAAAGGAGGCTGACAGGCTCCTGAGCTGCATGAGGAGGGAGGTCATCCTGCCCCTCTACTCAGCCCTGGTGAGGCCACATCTGGAGTGCTGTGCCCAGTGCTGGGCTCTCTGGTACAAGAGAGACATGGAGCTCTTGGAGCAAGTCTATTGATGGGCTACTAAGATGATGAAGGGACTGGAACATCTCTCCTATGAGGAAAAGCTGAGAGAGCTGGGACCGTCTGGCCTAGAGACGACAGGGGGGATCTTACCAATGCCTTTAAATAGCTGAAGGAAAGATTAACACCATCAAGGAAAAAAAAAAAAAAACCTCACTGCACACACAGTTGCTTTAGGTAATTTTGATGATAGGAATACCACTTCTGTCCTTGAAAAGTGGCTCATAAAGTCAGAAAAATGTCTCATGTATTTGAGCCTAAAAATCAGAAAATTCAACTTCTATTTTTTTCCCCGTAACTAAGACAAGACACAAATCATTTCTATAACCATTCTGAGTTATGTACTTTATCAGTCTGAAATGAGAGAGAGGAAAAAATAATAATTAAAAAAAAAAAAATCAACCCCTCCCAACTGTGACAACAAAGACTAAGTGTTTGCTCACTTGTGTTGTTTAACTGTTTACTTAAATCTGGACTAGCTAACTTTGCTACAGTAGGGTCACCATGGACACTTAGCTGCAATAGCCCTATTAATGTCATTTGTGTTCATCGGGGGGAGGAATAACCCCATGCACCAGGACAGGCTGGGGGCTGACCTGCTGGCAAGCAGCTCTGCGGAGAAGGACCTGGGTGTCCTGCTGGACAACAAGTTGACCCTGAGCCAGCAGTGTGCCCTTGTGGCCAAGAAGGCCAATGGGATCCTGGGCTGCATTAGGCAGAGTGCTGCCAGCAGGGGGAGGGAGGTGATCCTCCCTCCTCTACTCAGCCCTGCTGAGGCCGCACCTGGAGTCCTGTGTCCAGTGCGGGGCCCCCCACTACAAGAGAGACATGGAGCTTCTGCAGCGAGCCCAGCAAAGGGTCGCTAAGACAATGAAGGGCCTGGAGCATCCCCGCTATGAAGAAAGGCTGCGAGAGCTGGGCCTGTTCAGCCTGGAGAAGAGAAGACCGAGGGGGGATCTCATCAATGTATACAAATATCTGAAGGGAGGGCGTCAAGAGGATGGGGCCAGACTCTTCTCCGTGGCGCCCAGCGATAGGACAAGAGGCAACAGGCACAAAGTGAAACACGGAAAGGCCCATCTGAACGTGAGGAAAAACTTCTTTCCTGTGAGGGTGACGGAGCACTGGAACAGGTTGCCTAGAGAGCTGGTGGAGTCTCCTTCCCTGGAGATATTCCAAACCTGCCTGGGCGTGATTGTGTGCAATGTGCTCTAGAGGACCCTGCTTGAGCAGGGGGCTTGGACTAGATGATCTCCAGAGGTCCCTTCCAACCTCAACCATTCTGTGATCCTGTGAGTCTGTAACTGTAACTATGGACAGATCAATCAGGACTTCTCTCTTTCCAAAAGGAGATGAAGATATTCATCAGCCAGAACAGCATGCTAAACACCAGGCTGCTCAGTCCTCACACATTATCAGACTCGTATTTAAGTCTGGCACATTTGAGAATGGAAGATGTAAACAACCAAGAATACTGGTACTCAAATCAAGGGGCCAATTTCACTCAGAACAAAGTTAAAAGGCTATATATAACTTAATTTCCATTGCAATATTTCCATAAATCGCCTTTTAACAACACAAATAATTTGAAAAGCAGATCGGACAAAGAGCAGTATTCCCCACGCTTGCAGAAACAAAGTTGCTAATGTGGATAATTAGCATATTAACTCAAAGACAGTCTTTTAAGGGAGACAGCACTTTTCCTAGAACACTGCATACAAGACTAGTTTTCTTCAGCTTGCTTTCTCAGAAACAAAACAAGACAAAACAAAACGATATAAACAGTGGTGATACCAGCTCTCATCTTCCTCACAGTACTAAAAGCAAGGAGTAATATAGTTTGTGGAGGAGTAGCTAAAAAACAGTCAACAGATTTTACTAATTTGATTCCTACAGCTGAATCCTCCCAGCAAGACCATGGCTTTCTTTAACTGGCATCATGTAGTGGAGATAAGACAAGAAGAGGTAGCAATGATGGATGTTGCAGAAAGTTAATCTATCTCAAACAGTGATCAGACAACATTTCCTGGCTCACTGGGACACATCTGCTAGACTACCTTGCCCAAACCCAGCCAGTCCTTCTGACTTAGAAACTGCAGATTAAAATCAGAAAGTATAAAATACATTCTGCCTATTCTGGAGAACCAACTTCTGGAGAAGTTCAGTAGCAACACAGCAGAAAACATGATTTATTCAAAATTCTTCCTATTTTTGAATAAAGCTGGTATAGCCATGCAGCTGTATCTAAAGAACAGCTGAGGAAACCAGCTTCATCCACCATTTCCAACTTGTTTCTTCCTGCATGCAGAAAGCTAAATTACGCAACAGCGCCACTGCTCATCTCTGAGATGTTATAAGATACAAGAACAATACCTGGACTGCTTGCAAATTAGATATGATCTGATAATTGTAGCTTCCCTGACCTATCTCATATTTCTCCTGGCGGAAGACTGACATTTCTACTCACAAAAATAATATGAAAACATCCTAGTGCTTTAATAAAGTGGTTAGACTGTGGCTATTACTAGTAGCAGCTGCTGTAACCAATTCATTCCATAAAAATCAAACCATTATTCCAACAGATGATGATTTCTTGAACATTTATTTCAATTTCTGTAAAACATTTAATGGACAGCTGGCCTATCTAAAAATACCCTCTTCGTATATGATAGTCTAAACAAAGTAAATTCCGATGCCCTTGGACGATGAGCACTCCGCTACTTCAGTGATCTATAAAACACATTTGGGAGGCTCTGATGTTTTATTTTTAATTATTGCAATCTTGACATTGCATACATGAGGACTGTATAACAGAAAAACTGATCTGCAAACCCTTATTTGCATAAGGAAGGGAGGAAATAACTTATTATTGAGGAAGAGCTAATGCAACTTGGACTGACACTGAAATATCTCAGTCAGTGGATCTACTGGACGGAACTCCATTAGAACTCCAGGGTAAGTTTTCCAAGAGAAAAGAAATCAATGAAAGTAAACTAAAAAATATGGGAAAAAAGCTGTGTTTTTTGTTTGTTTGCTTGTTTGTTTTTTACAAATTGTAACCAGGGAACGTGGGCATTGTCTTTTCTCAGAATAAGACTACCCTAGCATCTCTCCCAAGAAAAACAATAATTCATGCTCATCTGTGTATGGGAGTGACTCTTAGAAGAATATTGCTGATTTATTCCTTATTCACTTCCATGTAAGCAGAAGGTAGCACGGCAGATTCTTTTTGAGATTAACGAGAAATTGCAAAGGCACTCTACCATGCTTTTTACCTTTGCTTTTTTTTTTTTTTGTAGTTACATTATAGCAGTCTCCCTTCACTTCCTCCTGGCTTAGCTAGACTCAAAGAATTTAATTGTGCTAATAAAATCAGTAAAGTAAGTTCATATATGTGTTACAGTAGTCAAACAGTCTGTACTCAAGCTCTAAGACTGCAGAAATAAAGTTGTCATTACATCTATATACTGTGGGCATGTGTACAGACTGCAAAACAGGCACAGCTCTGAAAAAGACTTTTTCCTTGTAATGAACTCCCTGAAGAAACTCAGAGGCTTTTGAACCAAAAAAGGCAAGTTTTATCTGAAAAGAAATTAAACTAATTATCTTTTTCAGATTTGGAAAATTCAGAATGACTAGGCAGAACCGAATAGAAATGAAGATAACTTATAAACAGCCCTCCCCTTGAACACTTTGTCCTTCCAGGAAAAGTCCTTGCTTGCCTCTTGATTTCCGTCAATTGAATGACTGCGGTGCAGCACTTGCAGGTCCACAGGAAGTTTCTTTCCATCACCATAGAGCTCTGTCTGGTCCTCTGCTTTCTGATCCTATCAAAAGTCTTTCGTTGTACCCTAGGCTCGCAGCTCCTTGCTGTGATGCTCCCCAATCTTTTTCAAGGAACATAACCAAGAAGAGTGTCTCCACGAAGCAGCTTGGTGGCTCCCTGCCTAGAAAACTTTCACCTAGACTAGAACACCACCACACAGAAAGATCTGAGCTGAGATCTGAAAACACTGTAGCTATGTCAGCACAGTAACATGGTCACCAGTTGTACTGCTTCTGTGTCTAGTGTTAGCCTACGCAGCAGCAGCAGCTTGAATGTTTCTGCTAAACCTCTATTTCAGCATGGAACCCACCACCTCTTGCAGAATACACTGGTGTGTCCAAATCAACAGGTACCTCTCACTACAAAAAGCTGGACTTTGCTAGACCAAGACCCTGGCAGAGCTAGTACTGGTTTCTATGCTTTCAGCATGAGTTTCCCCTCCAAAGCCCAAGGGCTTTCTTTCCAGGGTCTGCATATGGCATATGTTTGTGTATATTTTCTTTGGGGCAAGCCCTTGTTACTGTGAAAAATCATTTTCATGTAACACCATAATTGGTGCTTTCCCAGAAAATTTTACATTTAATTAAATTAAAAAGGACAAGATTTTATTAAATCATTTAAAATAAATTCCTGTATATTTCCCAATTGTTCAAAATATTTTATTAAAGGGGCTGTTTCAAGTATATGTATTAAAGATTCATTTCAGCTAGTTTTTTTCAAGACGGAGAAATGTATGACAGTAATTAAGCAAGTAAACGGCCTTTTCTATTTTTATGAACATACATTGAGAAATGTAACCCTTTCAGATCACCATTTCCAGCGCTGTAAATTTTTAGCGGTAATTCTAAGTGCAAAACCCAGAGAAAGTAGGGACCGGAGACAAGACTCAAAGACCTGCCTTCGCATTACTATTAAGCTAGTAAGTTCACACATCTGTGAGAATTATATTTGAGCCTACAGGTAATCATTTAATCAGACATTCGTATCCAGCATCAGACAGCACAGAAGTCTTACTTTGAGAAAGAGGTATAATACAATAGCAAAAAAACCAAACCACTGCTCAGCTGGAATAGAGGCATCAGTCTCAGCGTGTTCTTCAGATCAGTATCCAGGAGTCACTGAGCCACCTACAGAAACAAGAATAACTTTACTGCCCAAGAACAAGAGTATCTGCAAGAGTGCTTTATTAGCAACACTTCTGAACTCTGATCTCCGAGAAAACTGCATTTAATAATAACCTTTAAGAAATACATTTTTCATTAAGTTTTAGGACTCCAGCATAGATCATCTCCATGTGTTTTTTTAGAGTTATCAGAGACCATGCAACAAAATAAAGGAAGAGAACTGATCCTGTGGCCTTAGTAAAAGGACATTCCCACTGAGTTTTAAACAAGTCTCACATAAGTGAGGACCCTATGATATAGCTCACTGTTTCTTCATACTCTGTGTTACCCCGTGTGAACCATCTCAACCTGATCATGCAGAGAGGTTCCAGTGGCTTAGGACACAGTCGAGACTCTTTATTTCCAAGAGAAGCCATGTGACGAACTGGTCATATGGCAAGCACATTACTTATATCATCACACTATTCAGGACACCACTTAAGCAACTGGGTAAGTAAATGGTCAAGACTTTACTATCTTTCTGCAGATCCCCTTTGTACCCTGGACCACAGAGCCTTGTAAGGGCAATTCAAGAGGTAATGGCTGGCAGAAAACCATTGGTCAGCTTTCACTGGAGCCCTGTAGGGTAAAGAGGGCCTTAAGGCCAGTAGCTTTTAGATGTTTCACATTTTTATGAAACAGAGATCATACAGTTGTAGCCTCCAAGATTCTCCAGCCCCTTTTGCATAAACATGACCATTAGTTTGAATTGTAGTGGAATTCAAACCACTAACAAACTGTTAGATAAAGACTAGATGTATGCCCTACCTCTATGGCACAGTCAGATGCAGAAAAAGGAGGAATTCCTTTCACCTGCAATTTGCCTGGGCTGCAGAGGGGTGAGGAGAGATAATAGGAGCAACTGAAGATAGTAGTGAAAAACCCTGGGACACGGAAACTTCTGGGCAGTATTAAATGAAATAACATACAACACTCCTCTCTCTTTTCTTCCTTCCTGCTCTTTAGCTTTTGTAAAGCTGGCCAACTCAGCCCTCTTTTTGCACTTTTCACGGTCTGACTTCCTGAATTAATCCATACCACGCTTAGAAGAGTCCCCAGCATTCACTAGGAATTTGCCCGGCATTTCCACTCATTAAAACAGTGCTATATTCTTTTTTCTGCTGGGAAATTTCCATGGGAATGATGGACAGCTGCCTCAAAAGTGACAGCCCATAAACAAGCACAAAATATTAAATAATACTGAGAACATAAAAAGGAACAAAATCTGCCCTCAATTTTTTTGTATTTTGAACAGGAAATTTTAAAAATAACACTCTGAAATAAGAGTTTGGAACAGAGCTCCTAAAATGTTTAGGGATGAAACGTATTATAAAAAAAGTAAGATCATTTTAGTTGGAGGCAGCAACCAGCTGACAGTTCCTAAAAAGTTTAAGAATGTTCCAGTAGCTGTCAGTTGTCTTGACCTTTTATGTTCCTCACAACTTGATGAATATCTTAAATGTTACCATCATCATATACATCAAGGATGTGTTTTAAAAATAAGAAAAGCTAGATCCTTTCATCAGTGTAATGTGATCTCGGGCTGTCAGCCACTCTTATTATTCATTCCTATTGGATTATACAGCCTTTGAATCACTTTACGAACATAAAATACTACATATGCTGCTCCTAAAGACTACCAACTAGCTCACAGTTTGTCAAGCTGTTGACAAGAAATGTTACTCACTATATAATGTTTTACAGTACTGAACTGTACAATTTTATTTTTAGTTCTGTTTCACTATGACTCTTCCACTGAAGACCCTTTAAAGGAGAGCAAGAAAGATGGTTGAGGCCAGATTTTTCTCCATAGTGATTTGCGATAGGATGAGAGGCAACGGGCACAAACTGAAACACAGGAAAGTCCATCTGAACGAAGGGAAGAACTTCTTTACTGTGAGGGTGACTAAGCAACTCGAGGTTGTGGAGTCTTCTTCCTTGGAAGATATTCAAAAGCTGTCCGGACACAGTCCTCAGCAACATGCTCTAAGTGATCCTGCTGGAGCAGGGGGGTTGGACTAGAAGTCCCTTCCAACCTAAACCATTCTGTGATTTTGTAATCTTTGATCTGGAATAAACTTAGAATATCAAAAGAAAAAGACTTATGCTGCTTACCTTTCTGATAATAACTACTTAGCAATAGCTTCGTTCCCCTGAGTCATTAGGCAGGGAATTTCTCAAAGCGACAGACCTTCTTTCAAGGACATCATCAATTTCATTCTCAGTAAGTCCCTATAAAAAGTACCTCAAGTTAACTGTAATGCCTGAGAAGAACTGATAAAAGTATCTTATCCAAAGTAAACCTTTTACTTCTTTCCAAAAGAGTTAAACCAGTTCAGGGCAACAGACATTGTCTGCTGTCTCTTCAGCAGCTGGAATGCGTTAAGTCTTAAAATTCATTTAAGAATAGTGTAAGTAATGCCAAAAGAAAAGAAATTCACTGGAACCCTATCCCCATTTAAAGGCTGTGACAAAAAGTATCTAATAAACAATAAACTAGACTAAAAAACAAGCTACACTGAAAATAATGGGACTCTTCATTATTACAAAATTTTTTATGATCCAAAAAGTGTTTTAAGTACTCAAGTAAGTTGAAGTCTACATTCAAAAGGGCAGCTAACAGTCTGAAGACAGTGGACAATCTGGAAACATACTCCCATGTGTTCTTCATACGTGAAAAAGCAAATTTTCAAGCTCAAATTCATGCCTATATAAACGACACTGAAGTAGACAGAGCTAAAGAAAATGTTAATTTCCTTACAGTGAATGTGGAAAATGGACTTACTAATGAGAAAATATTGGTGCTGGTAGACAAAAAAGATATTTGATTTCAATAAAAACATTGACTTTCAGTGTTTACGGTGAGATACACTGGGAAGACAAGAAAACAGCAACCGCTATCAGTGCTAATGGTCAGACAAACAATTGCTTCGTCTGGTACAAAAGGAGAGTTATTCTGCATCTTCTGTAGGTGGCGTTTTCTAATAGCAGGTTGGCAGTTTTTGTTGCTGTCCCTCTTGCGTTTCGGAGTTGAGAGTGAAAACGAACTCTTACTCTCTTAAGAGGATTGGCACACAGTGTTGCTAAGTGGAAAACTAGGGCTTCCAGTTGAGAATGGAAGCAAAATGCCTATGACAGCAAGCGTAGCATGTTACAGAAAATGCTTCTTCCCTGCTGCTGTGGCTGAAGTAACTGTTGCGCAGCTTTCCACCTCCTCTCAGCCTCAAATTCTTGCTAAACAAGCTCATGATTGGATATTGAATTTTCCCACTGCTGCACCTCAAGAGGTAAACAGATTAACAAATGCCGCTCCAGGTGCTGAAACAAAAAGCAGTGGGAAATATCACTTGAGAGCCTGTTTCTTGACTGTGTAACTTTCCCCCAGTTGAAGCATCTGACCCTATCTCTCTTCAAATGCTTTTAACTTGTAACTAGGCGGGGAGCTGGGAGCCACATGCCTATGTAGCAATTGCCAGATGTATTAAATAAATAGTTTGTAGGCCTGGAAAGTCAAAGGAAACAGTAATGAACATTTCTGAATCTTGCACTGGGCTAGCAGCACTGATTAATTCATCCTCTTTCACGTGTTTGCCTTCTTTCTTTCCTCTAGAGTGGTTCCTTCAGGTTAGTGCAAGGCTAATGGAGGTTGCAGATGTCTGCATGATTCCAAACCAAGAGCAGATGCTACCAATTAGCAAAACAATTGCAAATTATCTCAGAGGAATGAAGGGCCTAATCCTGAAAGCCTGACTCATGCAAGAGCCTGTATCTTGTAACTCCTACAGGGTTATCAATCACAACGTTGTTTTGTTTAGGCTGCTTTACAATCGGAAAGGCCCCTTCTGTTGCTTGAGGCAGGCCATTCCCATCCATATCCTTGGTAGAAGAGGGAGGGAGCATCAGTGATCTAGATTTATAGCCCCTTCCCTTGAGCGTGAAATAAATATCTTAGGCTTAGATTTGTCACTGAATCAAAAATCGATGACAGAGTGAAAAAGCCTTGGGTATGCCCATGTTGGAGCAGCAGGGGTGTTGTGGCAGCCGTTTTGGAAGACAGGGGCCAAGAGAGACACATGGTTTGTAAGGACAGGAAATGTCTAGATGGACCAACTCTTATTACCTTAGCTGGAAAAAGAGAGCAAGAAGAGCGCAGTTACCGTCATTCACCAGTTCTTTTGTCAGTAACAATATCTAGCAGGCTCACACAGAAACAGCTGCTGAGTCGCTCATTTTTGAGGTCCCAAATGCCATTCAAAATTAACCACCGCGGGATTAGTCTAAAAGGCTTTTGTGCTTCAGTAGCTATCTTCTTCGTTTCAGAAGCCCTTTGCAGTTGCTAGTTCCTTCTTCCAATTTACTACGGTGTGGCAATCTACAAACTGTTTTGTTTTTCGTTCTAAATTGCGTTCACGTGCTCATCCCTTTCCTTCTAATTGCCACAGGCACCATGCTGTGCTCATTCACGAGCGGCAATCCAAGACTTCCCTTCTGACCTCTTGTCTGTGGCGCTCAGTAGCAAGGGAGCGAGCACTCCTTAGCCCAGACTTGGCCAGACCGTGTGAGGTAAATAATTGGCTACCCAAAACTAAACTGGCAGATTTATGGGCCAGGGCAGACCGCTAGACGGATGGGCCCAAATCCTAGCATGCTAGGAGACACCGTCACATCATCGCCAGTGGCTCTTGAACTGTCATACTAATACTCACAGAGGAAAGCCGCTGCCTGGCCTGGGCTGAGGTGAGGAGACTCCGCACCCGCTCATTGATTTTCTCCCAGCTGAAATCCACACCGGAATACAACCTACCAAAAGAGATCAAACAGTTCCCCTCTGGTGTGAGAACGTTTCCTCTTCTTTGTGTGCACTACATCTGATGCCTCACGTGTCATACCCTTTCCATACCAAATGGTGATGATCCCTTCATCCCCTCAGATCAAGTCACTGAATAGGGACACCTGCAAACAAATTTGGCTTTGTCCCTTTCCTCCTTCAAGCTACTTCTTTCTTCCCACCATTTCCTTTAGGCTTCGTACGCCCAGTGCCTTCATACGCCCTAGCATAATCCTCCTTCACTACCATCAGTGATTATAGATGAATTTTCTTCAGTTTTATGAAGAAAGAGCAAACAACAAACCCCATTTCTGACTGCTGCGTCCCCTGTAAAGTGCAGAGCTCTTCCATGCCTTTGAAAACCACCCGGGTGAGAAAAGAGCTGAAAATCTGCAGTGCAAAGTGTGGCTATCTACAAACTGCTCTGACCTCCAACCTGCTTGTTCTGCAATGCAGGGCCAGGAGACACTGGAAAAATTATTTGTCTTGCGATTTTGGACAACAGGCTTCCCCATCCAAACCTTTGCCAAAATGAAGGCACAGTAAAACTCTCTGTTGTACAAAGCAGCAACACTGCAAGAGATTCAAACGGGTGCAGGTCCTGCAGCGCTTTTTCACACGGCGTGCCCCCGGGTGAGATCGCTTTTGGTGTTGTTTATGGGGCCTGCCTCAAACTTGACCTGCCTACACGGCTGCTTTTTCTTGCCTGGGAGTGGGAGTAATTTTAGTATCAGACAAACTTCATCTGAGTCATGAAAGTTTCATGGAGGTAGATGGCAGGTGCTGACCTAGAAGGGACAGAATACTGTTGTACAACAGCA